TGCTGCCGTGTTCGGGCCCGAGACGCAACATGACGGCCATGGTGGGGCATGGCCCCGGGCAAGGAGCCCGTCGCCCAAACGCCGCACCGACTCCACCAAGGACGACTTCTTTCTGCCTCCTCCGGCGCGGAGGTAACCGTTCCCGCAATTACTTCGTTAGAAGATAAATTTTTGGGGATACGTTCTTATTTTACGGTAAGGCTCTCGTTTCACTGGGAATTGTTCGTTGAATTCATTCTAAACAAGATTGTGTCTACTTTCTTCACAACATGTTTGCAGCTAATTCGTATGACCTCGTTACTGTGAATTTGTTTGTTAGATTCGATTTCCGAACAAAGAATTGTAATAGTCTTTCTTTCGTCCCAAACGTGTTCGGCAACTAGTTTCTTATTTATTAGGTAATGACTCTCGGTTCACTGTGAATTTGTTTGTTAGATTCGGATACTTAAAACAAGATTGTTAGTTTTCTTTCTTCACAACGTGTTTTGCCAACTAATTCTTATTTTAATGGTACGACTCTCGTCACTGTGGAATTGTTTCGTTGAATTCCGATTCTAAACAAGATTGTGTAGTCCTTCTTTTCCACAACGTGTTTGCCAACTAATTCTTTTTTATGGTACGACTCTCGTTCACTGTGAATTGCTTGTTGGATCGATTCGAACAAAGATGTTAATCTTCTTTCCTTCACTTAATTGTTTGCGGAGGACAGTTGTGTTCGCAATGAAGGTTTTAAAACGCTAATTTTTGCAATAATGCGATACGATGAAAACTGGTTACTGTTATAAAATGGCTGCCAAAACTATATTTAGCAAACACAGTGAGTTGCGTTTTTTGCGATCTTTTGACAAAAGAGTGGTTGAGTGAATTTTGAATTTCGTTAATTACAGGGAATGAACTTAATTATTCCATTTTCTTTCTTATAAAAGTGGATTTGGTAATTATGCGGTGGATAGACCTCAAGATGTGTTATAGTGAACGCAAGGGCGGAGGCCGAACACTCGCTATGACTTGGATTCGAGCGGAGAGAAGCGAGAAAACTTGCCTTTGAAAGTACTTTGGCACTAGAACTCTGGCGGAGCCAAGTTAATTATTACAATGTGGTACGTGCAGCGGCACGCCCAGGTCCTTGCCCAGGGCGCGCATCTTCCTGCGAGGCACACAGCACGCCCGACTGATTGACTGCTGACCTCCCAGTCAGGCACAGCGGTTGCATAAGTTTTCTTCGCGTCAGTGGAACTGTTAATTTACACGGAGCTATGAAAATTCTTAATTATGAAGGGAAACTACGAGTCAGTTGAACTGAAATCGGTGACTCTGAGCTACATTTCCCAGACTCTCAAAGAGTTCTAAGTGTCGCTAAGTGTTTGTGAGTAACAGGCGGCTATCTATGTACTAGCCACTAAAGAACCCATAAGATTTAAGGGTACAAAGTTTTAGTGATTCCGGGTCAACTACATACCGAGTCATTAGTTCCGTAAGGGCAGTGCATGTTTTTGCTCGAGAGGTGGCGGTGATATTTCCCTCGCTGTATGGCAAGATCCGGCGTCAACCTACCGTCGGCTAGCGCGGTTTCCCCAATCAGGTATCTCCGAATCAGGCACCGCCCCGTAATAATAATAATAATAATAATAATAATAATAATAATTTGACATTGACAAATACTGTTTAGTGTTAATATTCCTTGTCTCGTGACAGGAGTTCACTTTTTAATGGAATGCGTTTATGAGATGAAAGTAACACAGTTTCCATTAAGTAGTTTCCACTTGTAGTTTTGGTACATGGTTCATTATATTTTAGTGTTCATGAGATTTATTAATCAAGTTATCTTCCGCAGATGTGAAGGACAGTGCATATTTGTAGTTTTTTCTAAAATATAAAGTTTTAGTACTCGCACTCCAGTTTCATTTGTCTTCCCGACGGTATTGCAAACTGTGTTAAGAAGGTAATGACGAAATAAATAGCAACGAAAAGGTATTGTTCACATGCTTTCTTACAAAAACAAATTTAACCTGAACTTTTCAAAAATTAGGCAACTGCGTCACAGTACAGTATCTTCTACCTGCGTCAAACCGAATTAAAAATTAATGTTACATATTGGCGTAGTTCCTCACGTTATTCACCTCAAGCCCTCCTGATAATTGGGCCCTCCACGACGCACGAATATGGACACCTTGTTCTCCGCAAGTTTCGCCTGGTACTCTTTAAGGGCGGAGATGATGCCCTTGAACGTGTGGGCCACGTTCGTGAAATTGGCAATTCCTCCGCCGATGATTAGGATCTGAAAAAATGATATTGAAACATTATCATCTGTTCAAAGAGCAGAATTCATACATTTTCCGTGGCAATAGATATAAATAACTCTTATATTTATTATCTTGAAATCAACATAACTCTTTATTTAAAAAAACATATCCTCGTAAATTCTTACAAATTTTTTTTCTGACAGTGCATTTAAAATTTGCTAGTATAATTTATTTACTCCACGTCCAAAACAGTTGATAACTATAGGACGTATGGGATAGAAGCACAATCTTTGACAGAGACAGAAAAGTAAAATATTTTAGCTCTGAATATGAATGGTTGTGTTGATGTTGGTGTTGGTGGTGGTGGTGTTGGTGGTGTTGGTGGTGTTGGTGGTGTTGGTGTTGGTGTTGGTGTTGGTGTTGGTGTTGTTGATGGTGTTGTTAAGAGTACCTTTCCGTCCTTGTGCGGCTTGCGCGTCATGAGCTTGAGGATGGTGCGCGCGTAGTCGTACGTCTGCTGCTCGTTGGGCGCGCCGCTATACTCGCCGTAGTTGGCCAGCACGTCGGGCCCGCCCAGGTCCACGATGGTGTCCGCGTAGATGACGGACGCGCCGCCGCCGGCCACCATCGTCCACACGCGCGCGTTCTCGTTCAGCACTGTCAGCTGCGCAACGCCGCTGCCTGAGCCTACCACTGCCGCTGCCACTGCTACTGCTACTACTACTACTACTACTGCTATTACTGCTACTACTACTACTACTACTACTACTACTACTACTACTACTGATAGTGCACCTGCTACAACCGCAACTACCACTACTAATGCTACTGCTATTGCAACTTCTACATATAGTGCTCCTTCTACTGTCGCTGCTACCACTACAGTTACTTCCACTACCGCTACTGCTAGCACTAGCAGTACTACTACTACTACTACTACTACTACTAACAGCACTACTACAACTACTACTACTACTACTACTACTATTACTACTACTACTTCTACTATCACTACTACAACTACGACTAGTACTACTATTGTCAGTAGAATTTCTACTCTCCTTACTGTTAGTACTACTACCACTAGTACTACTACTACCACCACTAATACCATTACTTCTAACACAATTACCTACTGGAATCATTTCTACTCTATGGAGCGGAAATATGGGCGAAAGCTCTGGAAAAAAGGGAAGTATCGCAAGAGATTGGCGGTAGTGCAACGATGCGGAGCTCTGAGAGCCTCATGAGCCGTCTGTACAGTGTCCGAAGCAGCGGTCCCAGTAATTGCTAGCACTCCACCAATCGATCTTCTCGCACAAGAACGACAAGACATCTGGCGCAACCAAAACGATAAAGGCAGAGCCGAAGCAAAGAAGGAAGCTCGCCAACTACTAATAGAGAAATGGCAACAAAGATGTGAAGAATGCAATTACGGAAAATGGACCAAGATATTGATCCCTCGATCCACAGAATGGCGAGGTCAACTACCACCTACTTGGATGCTTTAGAAAATTCCTTCACAAAATGCAGAAAGCAAATAGCCCCTAATATCTCTACTGCAACAATGAAAAAGAATAGAAGATAATAAATAAATAAATAAATAAATAAATAAATAAATAAATAAATAAATAAATAAATAAATAAATTTCACTAATTAATTAATAAATTTCATTAATTTCATTAATAAATTTCATTAATTTCATTAATAAATTTCATTAATTTCATTAATAAATTAATACATTTTATTAATTGACAAATTTCGTTAATTAATTAATTAATGAAATTTATAATCCTCTTCCTCATCCCATTCTACCCCAGAGCGCATTGCCGAAGCGCGCTCACCTTCAAAGAAGCGCCCGTGCGCTCGTCCATCTCCTCGACGAACTTCTCCTCGGGCGTGGAGTCCCGGCCGAAGGGCGTCGGGAACGGGATGTGCCCCCACTTCTTGCGGCACAGGTACTCGGCCGTGCCGTCCAGCTTAGCGGCCACGTCCAGGATGTGGACGGCCTTGTCCGTCACCACCAGCGGGTTGATCTCCAAGTTGGTGAAGTGGAGGTCCACGTACACCTCGTACAGCTTGCGGATGAACTTGGCGATCATTCTGCGCAGAAAGCGCGCACGAGGGCGGCAAACTACGGATTATTGAAACCTACATCATAAATTGTCTGGTACAGACCGTTTGTGATGTAGCTGACGTCATAAAGTACTTTAATGTGTGAAAACCGGAACGGTACAAGTGGTATTTTAGAAATTATGAGAAAAAAGTGTTTGTTTTAGACTATATGTCAGTGGCAATGTATTTTCGTGTTTTTAATGAACAATTGAAATGCCGTGGTTTTTATTGATGAAACAAAGCACCACGACTTTACAGTGATGTTAACTGAAATAAACAGATTTCTCGGAACTTATAAAATGTCACTTATGCCGTTCTGGTTTTCACCCATTCATTTGATGACGCTTTTTTTATGGTGTCAAAAATAATATTTTTGAAATATAAAGAAACTTTACTCCTTGATTGACAAATGAGGTTACACTTGAAAGAAAGAATGCACTTGCACTGCACTTGGCATTGTCATTCTACATGATATAAAGTCCATGGTTATCTTAATGGCTAATTAATTCATGAATCCGGGCAAGTCAATTACTATGACTATTCCACTCATAAAGTTGAGAGCAATAGTGTTTAATATAATGATGTTATATTGACAAATCAGATTAGTGATTCACAGTAGTATTATAAGTTTTTCTTATCAATTTTTATCATTTCCTTCTCATCACCTAATCATTAGCTGCGATTCATCTATCTTAGGAGGCGGTATGTATGTATCCCTGTGTTAATTTATCTCTAAGCGCGGTTTTTCATTGTCTTATGCAGCATAAGAAATTGCGAAAAGATTTGGCTATGCATCCGAACGAGAAATAAATAAAATGATGCCATATGTCACTCCAGAGAACACAGAGAAAAATAAAATATACGTTTGGAGACGATTTCAAAATTATTGTAAGGAGCGAAGCTACGTATTAAAAGAAGATACAACAAGATAAATTGCGAACGTTTTGAAGGATTGAGCTGTCAATATGAGAAAATGGAATGGAGAAAATTACAAGACAATACATTTACAAACTATTGAATAAGTAATTCATCAAATAAATTCATACGTTACGAGTTTTCGATACGTGTATTTTCTGTCAATACGAGTTCATTTTAACATTGCTGACGGCCTTGCATAAATAAAGAATACACGCATCCACGTTGTAATTGAAGCCATTAAAATATGTAAACATAGCAGATTAACTTACGTAGTGAGTATCAATGAACCATCTTCCCAAATTCAAATTTTATTCGAGAAATAATCCTACTAAATACCACTCGTGCTCTGGAAATTCTCAGATAAATACCAACCTCACTTCGCGATATCGATAATCTTTATCGATAATTTCTAAAACACTCGTGGTCTTACTTGTGATCTGTAGCCCCGTTAGTGATTTGTCCTTGGAGCTGGGGGACATTCGTTCCTCGCTGAATACAGACGTTCAGATCGGTTTGCGGGGAACACCTCCTCTAGGTATCTCCCCAGGGGAGTCTCTGCCCAACTCTGTCAAGCTCTACACCCCCGACCGTTTTTCAGGAATGAGATTGTGTTTGCAATGTAAGGGGAGAGGAAAGACCATTGTCAAGAACGTGGTAGGAAATCCCACGTTCCTTCATAATCTCTAAAACTTTTGCAACCGTTCGCAAAAACAAACAAAAGAACACAAAAAGGCGTGAAATTGTGTAAAAAAATGGGAAGCGATGCGAAGGTCGCAGTTGTAAAAATGTTGGCCCACATTTCGTCGGACGGCCAAAATTAAACGAAACAGATCTTCCGACAGCTGATGTTTTCTGACACCATCAGATGGGGTAGTTCCAAGGTTTTCCATCACATGTTCGAAGAAAATTGGAACGGACAGCTGAAATTTCGAACAAATCCACCGCAAACGCTACAAATGCCGAAATCGTGAGCAAACAATAAGGGAAAATGCGGTGATTTCAATGAAGCCGATTTTGGGCCCCAAATTTCGTCAGCCGAAATCGGCTCCACTGTGTCCGTCGTCTTTCTGCATATTTTCCCACTATTTCTATGTTTCTTTATTGATTTTTTTGAGGGGGGTGTTGCAAACTATTTTAGCAATATTAGCGATTGAACTGACCCAAGATCCTCCGCAAACACTACTAACTCCTAATCGTCCGCAAACGAAGGCGTGGAAGCGGTGAGAGTAAGACGACGCAGTGAGGAATCGCGGCGCGTACTTTTTCTTGGGGTCGGGGGCTTCCGCGAGGAGATTGCCCAGCAGCTGGTCCTCCGAGGGCGGCGCCTGCCCCACGGGTACCTCGAGGCGACGCGCCTTCGCGTCCACGTCGCCCACGTCCACGCCTCCGCGTGGCAGGAACAGCAGCGTGTCGCCCGTGCGGTGGGAGTACATCGACACGTACATCGCGTCCTCCTGCAAGCCGTTCCCACGTGCGCTGAGTTTAATAATTGCGCGCGTTGTTAACACCCTTTGGTGTTAACTAATTGCGCGCGTTGACGTCCATTGGTGTCGACTAATCGCGCGCGTTGATATCCATTGCTGTCGGCAAATCGCGCGCGTTGACATCCATTGATGTTGACTAATCGCGCGCATTGACATCCATTGATGTTGACTAATCGCGTTCGTTGATTTCCATTGATGTTGAGTAATCGCGCGCGTTGACATCCATTGATGTTGACTAACGGGGCACATTGACATCCACTGACTTACCTAATTAGTTAACACCCATTGGTGTTAACTAATCGTGCGAGTTAACCTCCATTAGTGTTAACATCCAATAGTATTAACTAATTGCCCGCATTAGCATCCATGAGTGATAACTTATCGCGCGAACTATCATCCGTTAGGGTTAACCACTCGCATGCGTTAACAGAAGAGAGGGAGGGTGAAGAAAGAGGAAGGGGGAGAGAGGGGAAGAAAGGGGGAAAGGGAGGAAGGAGGGAGGGATTTGGGGAAGAGGGAGGAGGGAGGGGGTGAGAGGAAAGGGAAAGTGTAGGGAGAAAGGAGGGAGGGGGAGAGAGGGTGACGAAGGAGGGAGATGGGGAAGAGGAAGAGTGAGGGTGAGGAAAGAGGGAAGGGGAGAGAAGAGGGAGATGGGGAAGAGGAAGGAGGGAGAGGAAAGGGGAAATGGAGAAAGGAGGGAGGGAGACTGGGAAACTGAAGGAGGGAGGTGAAGGGAAAGCCAAAGGGAAAGTGTAGGGAGAAAGGAGGGAGATGGGAAGTGGAGAAAGGAGAGAGGTGAATGGCAGGGCGAAGTGTAGAAAGAAAGGAGGGATGGGGAGAGATGATGACGAAGGAGGGAGGGGGAGAGAGGAAGGAGGGAGGGAGGGAGGGAGGGTGACCTGCTGGTGGGCGACGAAGGGCTCGACGAGGAAGGAGCGCAGCACGCCCGAGGAGCGGCCCACTTGCACGCTCTTCTGCATACGCTCCGCCACCCAGGCGCGCGCCGCCGCCAGCTCCAGGCCCGCGCCCACCAGCCCCAGCTTCCCGCGCCGCTTCAGCAGCTGGTCCGGCTTCACCACCAGCTTCTGCGCAAGGCACGCGCCACGCCTC